GTACTTACAAATTCCTGGAAAATGTTCTTTTTCTATCACTTAATTTATTATAAAAATTTTAGAAGGTGAATGACCATAAACTGTTCAAAGTAAATTGATTACAAAAATATTTACTCAAAATGTACAAAAAATCAATAATTTTTTTTCTCTCCTTAAATGGAGAATTTATTAAGGAACTATTTGGATTGAAATTGATCAAATAATTGTATTTGAGGGTCTAAGCATTTTATTCAATATTTATTATTTGTTTGCTTGTATATTTTATTTATGGCATTAGATATTTAGTTGTAATCAGAGACTGTGTATTACAATTTGAATGTAAGAATTAATATCGAACATGAGTTAAGGAACATTGCGGAACTTTTGATCATTCAATAATTGTTAAGGGTTGTGTCTTAAGCATGAAATTTTCAATGCTTTATTTAAATTTATTTCCAATTTTATCACAAATAATTTCTTATCACTCTATTTAATTCATTCGTGATATTTGTCACGTATAAACGACTAACATAAAATATTTACAGTCACAGCAGAAATCATAATATAAATATTATTTGATATAAGTCTCCAACTACTATTTCAACTCAGAAGATTTATGATCAAATGATTAGACAAATATCATAGACAATTTTGTTTGTTGAAAAATATTTGATGGGACTTAAAAATGTCATGGAAAATTTCCATTCGAGTGATGGGATAGGATAAAGTTCACAACTTATGTCCATATGTTTGGGATCTTTTTTAAAAAATGAAAAAAAAGGTTTTTGGGACTCATTTAAGGATATGTGTGAGATATTCATGAAGGAAAAATTCTCAGATTTTTTTTATCAGTATAAAAACATTTATTTAAGTAGTTCGTATCCCAAAAAATCATCAAGCATTTATCTGTTCCTAATATCTCATAATTACACTAAACCGTTGTCCGTGGGATACAACAAAACTTTTCAAATCTTTTGCAGCCGTTGCAATTGTGAAACTTTGGCAATATTTCATCTTAATGTGATGTGACATTGCTAATTTACCGCTTCTTATTATCCTTTCATAGAAATAAATTCAGTCTCAATTCCTTCATTTTTGTTTCTAGAATCTTTTTTCTTAAAGGAAATTTTGCTGTCTCGTTCATCCAATTTTTACAAGATCTTTTGGTACAAGAACAACCGAAATGCATAAGAAGAAGAATACCCATAAATAAGGTAAGAAATTAGAGAGAATGTAATAAGGAAATCGACAGATGTTTTCCAGCAACAGCAAAAATTCTTTTCAATTCCTTATTTTTGTTTCTTTCTTCTGACTACAAACTACATATGATGATCCAATATCTAGAGAATAAGAAACAGTTTTGAATCTTATCCGAAGTTTTTTTTTCTTCTCATTCTTATGCCTTTGATGCCATCAACCTTGTACCATTGTTGTCCTTTCTATTTTATTTTTTTGGAAATTTTTCTTTTTCTATTGAATCTATTAGAAATGATGCAGCCAAGAAAAAAAGGAAGAAGAAATTTCATGACATTGCATGCATACTCGTGTTGTACAATTTATATGTTTTTTTTTTTTTCGGGATGTTACAAACAATGGCAAGAAGAAGATGAAGTTTCAAGGGATATTAGATTAAAAATCAACAACAACAATGAGGTAAGAAAGGAGGAAAGGAAAAAGAAAGAAAATGCAAAAATTGCATCTGTTTGTCGTGTCTCAATCTACTCTACCTCCATAAAGCAGCTCGTAATAGCTTATTGAATAATATTCATGATGATTTTCAGGAACGAGTAAGAAATTGTGGATTCTTGGAAATTTCAAAGGACTGACATCATTCCTTCAAGGGTACTTGATGCTTCAGACATTCTTAAATTTCACAAAAGTATTGCATAACAGCACCAACTCTAAGAAAGGAAGTGATCGTTATTCCGAAAATCTTGAATTCATAAATACTTGCTTTTTGTTCCTCAAAAGAAAAGTCAACAAGTCGTTTATTGCGTGACTAATTTATGTGACAGTCTGACAATCAACAAATGTTTTCTACCTTTCATTTCCATTAAATCTAGTAAAATACGATGAGCTACATCCTCCGTAGGATTGATAATAAAGGACAATAGACTACGTGTATACGTAAGACTGTCTACAAATGAGAAAGGAATACCTACAACCATGGGATTTAATAATTCACTTGGGTTATGTCTTGAGACGTACAAATAAAGTACACATTTGAAAAGGAGAGCGGAAGTGACAGTTGGCTTCAAGTGATTTTTTTTTTCATCTTTACGGTACACACCTCCTTCACGATTTTGAAATGAAAATTGTAAAATTTCTTTAAGTACTCTTGAGTATTCATCCAATTAAGGTTTGTTTTTATTTTCCAGTTGTTGTGGCTGATGCCGCTATCTTAATTGCCCCTCAAAAACCGCTCTCCCTTACAAAAATTACCCATTAAGATATATTAAAAAATATTTCATGTATTCTTCGAAATTAGTTCATCATTTTGTTGGTTTTTTTCACTGATCTTCTTCTTATTCCTTCTTTTTTTTTATCTCTTAAATGTTGTCGAAAGGATCTCTGATACATTTCCCTTCGACATTTTTTTTTGTTCCCTTTTCTCGTGCAGCTCTATTATGTTACTTTTCGTTTCAGCGATACATATTCTGTCGAGATATTGTCTGATGATTAATTTGAATGCATTTTTCATTTTCATTCCTTTTGAAATCGGAGGTTTTCCAAAAAAGCTATAAGATTAATGGCGTTGGAAGGGCACAAACATAAAAATTAGAATCAATAGAATTTTTTTTTCTCGGCAGAAATTTAATTTCTTTACTAATTTTTCAACTTTTTTCTTTTCTTCTTTTTCTTCCCAAAAAAACAGAACGGTGAAGCCAACAATGATTTGACCAATAAATCTTTCCATCCATTCACCAAATAATCATTTGTTTTGTAATGACCATAAATGGGGAAAAGATGCAACAGCAGCAACTTTTATTGTTGATTTAATTAATGGTATTTTCATGGATCAAGAGGAAGATGCAGAAATGAATGCAACAGAAGTTTTAGGGTTGTTGAGGAAGATGGATTTGTGGATTTTGAGGTACATGTTCAAAGATATCGAGGTTGGTAGGAGCCCCTACCCTCCCTTGGTAGGAGCTCCTCCCAAAAAATCAAACATTAAAGTATATTTCAACTTTGTATGATAATGTACGAGATCAAGCTATAATTGGGCATTTGGGCAACGTTGGATTAAGGAACGGGTCAGGAACTTGAAGTGTAGCGGGAGAAATAGGAACGAGAGCTACAAGATTACCTTATAATGGAATATTGTCAGAACGGACCTGAAATGTATCACGTCACGCCCACAGAAGATTGAAACGAGAGCCTGAATTTAATCGAAACCTAGATTTGAAGATTAGAAGCTTGATTCTACGCCACCCATAGTGATATGAAATGTATCACTAATCAATGTAAAAAGTAAAACATGCATAAATACTAATTCTTCCGGACGGTAACGTCGACAAATAAATAATAATAACTTTGAAGTCTAAATGAAATCCTTGATCTTGGTTGATAAGCCACAACATAGTCCTATAAACTACAAAATCTATACTATAAACTATAAAGTCATAATCTGTACTAATTGTGAACCATATGTGACCGTGAGAAATTCAAACTCAGACATGCTGTAAAAAATTTCTGACATTAATATTCCATAATAGACCAAAGGATCGATAACCACAAAAAAAATCTTTATTATTCCACATAAATTCAAGTTAAAACTGTTGCATGAATCAGGAAATTGACGATGCACGAAGGAATGGAAAGACTGCAATAATCAAAATTAATTACAGGCGTTTATTGCGTTTTTTTGGGAATTCTACTTCCTGATATTCTTTACAACCTGACTTCTTGATACGGTTAGTTAATTAATTTATAAAAATGATGAAACATTTGATGCAGCACCTTCATTATTATCATCACGATCATTTATATGCTTAAAAGGTCATTAAAAGAATATAAAATTAAATAAAAGGAAAAAAAGGGAAGATAAAATGCTCCCTAATGATTCAATGGTTTTATTTATTATCATTAACGCTTTTGCTGATGGTCTGCATCTCTTCCGATATCCGGACCTAACGCAAATTTATTTCTTAAAGTTAAATTTATAATTAATGAATGGTTTTATTTATTTGTGGGATATTATTTTCGGAAAGCGATTAATGAATGTATCTAGAATGTACAATTTGATGATTGATGGAATTGCAAGGATGCATGAGCAGTGTCTCGTAACGGTCAAAATAAATTTGAATTTTTTTAAAAAGTTTGAGAACTTTTTTTGGATTATTTTAAAGTGTTTGATGTGAAAAGTGTAATTTTTGGGCATTAAGGACCTTAGTTGATCCCCACATAATCCAAAAAATAAGATTTTACTTAAAACTCAGCACAGCACTCACCATAAAATAAATTAAATACTCAAAATAAAGTTAATGATCAAACATCCATCAAAAGTTTGAGAACCACTGTTGGAAGTGAAACCATAGAAAGATTTATGAACATCACAGTTCAAACAATAAATCATCAATCATTCTGCACACCACAAAAAGTCTCTTTCAAACCATGATTGATGCATTTAAATTAGTTTACTCATTTTTATTTCCATTTGCATCAATTTTTTTTGACATTTCTTTCTGAAAATCAAAACCACAATAAGGAAAAATCAACAAAAATTGAATAAAAGAAAGCAGGAGATGCTGAGAGGAAGTAAGGCAACAATTGAAAAAAATGCAATTTTAAATTACAATATTATTGACACAGAAAGTAGTTGTTGCACAAAAAAAGGACTTTCTTCTCGTCACATTTACCTGAAATGATCTCCGGATGCAATTTTACACTTTCTTTTTGCACAATCACTGAGAATTGCTTCTTACCCTCCCAAGAAATTATAATCTAGAACCACAACAATTGCTATGTATACAGTCAATAAGTAATAACAACATTTTGATTATTTTTCAATTTTTTTTTTATTCTTCTTTAATATCAAAAATAGGATGAGACTTGAAAAGCCTCATGAGTAGATTTTTTTTTATTTCTTTTATTTACACACATATAAAATATAATTTCAGATTATTTTCTTGTTACGAATAAGGAAACGGAAGTACAAATAATGATTTACAAATGTTTGTTGAATTTGAGGATTTCTGCGTTTTTTGGGGGGGATTTTGGATGTTGAAGACATGCAGATTACATGACAAAGTATCAAACGGACAGAAATGGTTTAAAGGGATAAGGATGTTGGGATCTTTTTCTTCACTTACGATGTCTATTAAAATGTGAGATTTTGCTTTTAGACATCATAAGTGCTGCCTTGGGTTACATGCTGTATTAATTATTCTAGAGGATCGTTTTATTGGATTTTGAACATTTTTCCATAAGTTTGCATGCAAATTAAGATCATGTGTCTGTCTATCATGTCATGTGCTTCCAAAAAAGTGTATTTTTTGTATAAATTTTCAAAATAATTTCAAATTTTTTAAATGAAACATTTTTTCATTTAAAAATTGATATGGCAATTTGAATTTAATACACGTCGTCTAGCAGAATTTAAGTAATTTTTTTGTCGAGAGCACATTCATAATAATTTTTTAAACTAGGTGTAAAGGTATAAGGGAAATGATGTGAAAACCATGAATGTACAACTCAATTAAACAAAACTAAAGATTAATGAATGAAAAATTCAATTCAAAAGTATGAAAAAAATTCGTAATTTTTCCACATGAATCTATAAGAAAATCAATTATTTAGAGTAATACAACCATAAATAATTAAGGAAGAGGAATCAACAGAAGCATGACATTTATGATGATGAGTATGAGGACAGAGGAAAGTGTAAAGTCACAGTAAAAAATGAGAGATGAAGATGTCATGAGGTGATGATGACACTGCAGTTATCATTGTAGTTTGGTACACAGTATGAAGTCTACGATGACGATGACTCAGTTCAATCAATTCTTTCTCTTTTAGTTGTCTGCTGCAGCATCTGATTTTTAATGAATTTTGATGAGTTTTAAAAGGTACGAGAAAAAGAAATGTAAAGAAAATGTGCTTCTGTCTTTTATTTCTTCTTATAATATGGAGAGTCTTCAGGGACATCATTTAGAAATTGCTAGAAGAAAAGAAGAAAGGCAATTAGAACAGAAAAATCTTTTTAAGCACCCTTATTTATGTTATTGTGCGTTATGCTTCAACAGCCAGGTGTTAAAATTCTTCAAAAATAATATATCTTACGTATTGCTGAGGCGAGTATTGATCGTAATCAGCCCATTTGGTAAAATCTATTGATGGAATAATGCTAGCTTTGCAGGGCACACGAGGATTTCTGAAAAGAATATTTTTGTGTAATTTTTGGAAAAAAAGAAAAATGTTATCTTGCAATTTCAATCTCATTTAGAGCCTTATGACTTGTCTGTAGAAAAAGAAATTAGCTTCAAGGAAGTATATTCAATTTTATGCGGTTGAATAGAGAATAATGGATATGCTTAGTTGTGAAATCTCTGCTTTCTTATTATTTTTTGAGGTGTGAACTCAAAAAATGCAACATATACGGTAGTTAATACAGCATAAATAAACAAGGGCTTGACCATAGCAAAAATGTTTCAAGTTTTTACTCATGTTCATGCAGCTTGAATAATGTTCAACCAACTTTGATCCTTGGTAGCTTAGTCATGATTCAAAAATCACAAAAAATAAAATTATGAGATTGAAATTTCAATTAACTTCCTCAAAACAAAAATAAATAATTCAACTTACAGCTCATGATCAGGAAGAACCATTGGATAAATTTGTATTGAGTCAATCAAATCCGTGTTGTCACAAATGACACGTGAAAATTTGACTTTTCTGATTTCTTGTAATTGTTCGGGTGTGAATGATGATGGTTGATTTGCCAATTCATACCAGAAACGATCACCACGTCTTAAGTAGCTAAATTGAGTGGCAATAATGCATGCAAATGTTGGGCCAACCATTGAGCCTGGCAATGATTTTTCGGAAACACCACCGGACCATAAATCAATATCAAATGGATGTTCATAAATGCTTTGATAGCGACGGACAGTTTCATTTGGAAAGATGCCATACATTTCCTCAAATGTTTCGGCTGTTGGAAGGCCACAGAATTTACGGAACTCCATAAAACCAGGAATACCTAATTCACGACCACGTTGCATGTTGAATGACACCAAATCCATACCGAAACGTTCACCATCCTTTTTGAATAAATGATTTGTGACTTCTTGCGTGATCGAATCGTCGACAGCTTGTGCTACTTGATTCATAAGACCCATTAAATATTCATCCATGACACCAGCACGGTATAAATCAAATGGACGACGGATTAAGTCAGAAAGTCTCTTTGAAGCAATAAATTTGTGAGCCTTTGACCATCTTTCAACAGCAGTTGGCAACAATGTGTGACCAACACGGAAGGCAGCACCAGCGAAAGCATCAATGATACCTGGATTAACATTTGCATCATATCCATTCCAATAACCTTCTTTTTGTGTTAAAATTCCGAATTTCTCCATAACATCCTTACCCAAAAGAATTGGAAGGAACTCATTGTATGTGATTTGTTGAATTGTAGCAATATTCAAACGTCTTGCTTCCTGGAAAAGTGTTTCATCATCCCAATGAGCATTAACTTTAGCTAATTCTGTTGCCAAATGATTGTGATTACGAGCTAGAAGTGTGTGCATACATGAGAGAACCAATTGTTCATTAACACGAATTTCACCAGCTTCGAAACAATACAAATTCTTATTTGGACGAGTACATCCTTCATCAGGGAAGTCCAATTTTAATGGAAGTAAATCTTTCAATCCAAACTCTTGGAAGACTGGATTCATTCTTAAGAAACCACTGAATCCGGTTCTCAATTTGCGTGTGAATTTTTCGCTAACGCCATAAATTGTATTTCCGTCAATAACCGATGTTAAAGTGTTGAATGTAAGGCGTGAGCCCAATCTACAGCCAACTCTTGGTGTTGGGAAACCACGAACGAAGTCAATACATTTGACATTGAAGAGACGATAGAAGTAATCATCATCAGGTATACGAATTTCATTACAGTATGGATGTTTCAAGTGTTGAGGACGTTTGCAGCATTCTTCTGGGTCATTACGTGTTTTTGGATCTGTAGATTAATAGAAAAATAATTAAATTTTAAAAGAGAGCTTGAAGACTCAATAACAATCATGACGCATGAGACAAGTCAATGCCAATTAAATTTAAATGAGATTTCGTCTAATTGGGTCAAAGAAATTGAAACAAATATTTGTCATATTGGAACTAACGGATTCAATAAAGATTTTAGATTTCAAATATTTGGTATTGACATTATTTCTGATTGGATAAATCTTATTGGAATTTTAATAGATCATAAGATTCTTACCTAGTGGAGTTCCAGTAAGTGTGAGATCGTGATCCATGAATTGACCCCAAGCGACAATCATGACAGTTCCAGCATGATCATGATATCCCTCATCAGGATGAATTGTTCTTGATACAACACGTGCTGGTGGCAAATCATGTCCAGTAACAGAAACACGTGGTGAATTAATGCTATCAGAATAAAGAGGTCCAATCAAGCGTGTGAATGGAGTATGTGCTCCACCCCATGTTGGATTTTCAAGATTATTACATAATCCATCAACACGACGATATTTTCCTGGACGACATTCGACACCTGATAAGAAAGGTGGACAAACTTCACGAATAAGTGTCTTTGATGTATCAATGTTTGGTAGACCTTTTTCAATGTCTTCATAGCTCAAACCATAGCTGTAAAATTGAAATTAAGATATTTTTTAAGTTAAATGGCAATAAGATGAAGAAACTTAAATTGTTTCCTTCAATAAATTGAGATATTTTGACAAATTAGTGATCGACATGAACAGATATAGCAGACATGCAATTCATTGTAGCATGTGTGGAAAAGAAGAGTAAATTGACATCATTAAAAGATTGAAAGATGGAAACAAATGACATGCATCTATCAAAACTTTGAATGCTTATGAATAAACCGCAATTTGTCAATGGCAATGCCAAAAATATTGATCAACTTAAAATTCAATTTTTCCTGCTGTACAAATTCTGTCAATTTGGTTCCTCCAACTTTTTCTTTAATTAACATAATTAACAAAGTGGTTAATTTGGTATAAACAAAAATCACAAAGCATGAACAGAAATTCGGTAGACAAACAAGTCCACTCAAGTGAATAGAATAATGACTTTTTTGGTCAGCTTGTTAATTAATGTAAAGCAATTAGCGATGTAGTTTAGATTCTGGTTCGAGATAATTATTCATTCAGCTCATCCATCCTTGTCACAGCTACTCTATGTGATTCAACACTCCCTCATTGAGGGTTCGTTCAATTATGACGTCTACAAAATTAATTGAATTTTGAGACCCCCCTTTTTCATTTGTGTTGAAATTTTAAAAAATTCAGGACCCCTCCCCAGTCACAAATAAATTGTAAGGCGGATTCCTTACCACAAGCATTAAGTGACCATAAATTATTTCTACAATTCATATTCAGTAAGCAGCGATTCCTCATTAAATTTTAAAATATTTCCTTTTCGCGACCATAATTAAAACTCATTAGCATTTCATTCAGAAGTTATCTCACCATTTTAAATCGCGACCTTAAAGGTATTCAAGTTCAATGTTCGACCATGCAGCAAGTCTACAAGTAAGTCATGTCGCTTTCATTCGCTTGTTTATGTAGGAAATTTTAATAAAAACAAATGAAAATGAGAACTGCGTGAATAGCATGCAAAGAAATTGAATTTCTTCTTTTTGGTCTCATTTAAGCTCGTGCGCTAAAACTGTCAGTTAAGTATTTTATTTGTTGGTTGATATTTTATTAAATGAGTATATTTTTTAAAGGCTAATGTTGAATATTTTAGAAAAATTTAATGGAAATTTTGTTTGAGGGTCGTTCATCAATGACGTATATCGAAAAAATGAGATTTATCAATTGCCATACTTTTTTGTGATATTTTGCATGAAAGTGACAAAGACAGAACCTTTTTTCTCTCCAGAATTATGACATCATTTATGAATGGCTTTTAAACATTTCGCAATAATCAGGTATATGGGGCAATAAATTTGCAGCTAAGTATATTAATCGACTTTTAATTAATTATGTTAGTTTTCCATGTCTAGACCTCCACATATGTGGGTAACTTGTTTGATTTTATAGTAATAAAAATTTTAAAGCTTCAAAACTTTGGAGGCAGCTTCACACAAGATACCAACAATTTTTCAACATTCTTACTTAAAAAATAATTTATTCATAATTTTATGAAGACGTAGATATGAGAATCGATACATACACAGTTGACTAGTGTCTAACTTCGAACATTGATGTACCGTTAAAATAAGTCTGCTCATTGTGTAAATGAGAGCTGAAATAAGAAGTAGAAAAACAAACAAACAAAAACCACAAAAAGCTCTTTTATGGCTGCGCGGTTAAATGCTCAAATAGTCTCTTTTTATTTCTATTTTGATGTTTCATCGACTTGTCACTCGCTCGCTATTATACCTTCGTTCATTATTCTATTTTTCCTTTTGTGATGGATCAGTGGGTCAAAGTCAGACTTCTTTCAGTCATTTCTTTTTTTATTTATCATGTTTTGGTCGTGGATTTATGACTTAATAAAAATAATTTCTTCTTTCATAAAACGCGTTAATTTGAGTAAATCTGCGATTGTCAGTCAAAACTAGTGGTGAATTATGATCATTAAGAAATGATAAAAATCCAATCTTAATAACTCAAATTCATGATAATCTGTTTCTTTTGAGATTTGACTACTTTTACCTTGAACCTATTTTTATGATAAATTAGACAATAATGCATTTGAGGAAGATTAATTGACACGACTCGTATTGATTAAATGTTTATTACACCATTTTTATTGGATTGGATTTAGACGTAGACAAATAACTTTTTTTCCATCTAGTGAAAGTAATAAAAATTACATCAAGGAGCTGCCTAAAGCATTAATTTTTAAGTTTCAATCCATTAAGACGAGATTTTTTTCTGTGCCAAAAGCAATTAATTACAAATTAGTTTTGAGATTTGAAAAAAAGTCACGATCGGCTGCTGTTTATATGATGCCGCTGCTGCAAACAATTTCTGATGGTTTTGGTTATGAATGAAATGTTTTTAAACGTGACTCGATTCTTGCTCTCAATTTTGTTGAGCGCATTTTTGTGATGCTAGTGTTTGGAAAATATTTGAAAATTGCAAGGAATTTGAAACTTTTATTGAGATGTTGAGGGACTGGAATGCAGCTTGATGTATCAATTTTATGATAGTTGACTTGAAAAAGGCATGAAACTTCCAAAACTCTCAAAAGAAACTTTTAAGCTATTTCAAACTTGTTAATTGCAATTTAATTCAGCTGTAATTGTATCACTTTTTATATGCATTCAGTTTTCCTTTCATTAGATTCTTCTCGTATTTCATTTCTCCTTTCTTACTGCAAAATATGACTCAATGACTTGATCAGACAATGTAAAGTACAAGACTTGCTATTTCTTTAACTCTTTGCATAATCCAGACTATATGAATGAATTGAAAATTAAATAAGTAAAAAGTTTATATTGTTTCTCATTTTACTCGTTCATTTTTGCGTGCTGCTGCCTTTCTAGATTGCAGTTACAGATTCACGAGCATTTTTTGCTGTCATGCTTTACTTATAAGACCTCTCAAGAAAATTAATTAATTAAATGTTGTGGCAGGAGCAATAAAAGGTTGCAATTTAGACCACAAAGTGAACAAGAATCAGCTATGGTAATTGAAAGTAGATCTGTCCAGTTAAAGGCAAAAAGGGAGTGATTATACGAAACTTTATGGCAAATCAAGTCCTACTCGATCTTATGAACATGACCAAAGAATTTTAATTGATGTAATGATGAATTTTTGGAAGCTGCTTACATCATTGTTCGGTCATTGTAGATTGAGATGCTTACATTGTGACATTGTGTTGAATTATGTAAGAGAAATTCGTCATAATGTATCAGACTTGATTTTATATCTTTAAATTGAAGTTCCAAAAAAATTGAATGTCATTGCTATTGTTTGCTGGTGTCTTCAACAATAATGATTTTAAATTAGGAATGAAAATGAACTGATGATTTTAAAAATTTAATGACATTTATGATCACTTGCCTCGAATTATAATGATTGAATGTTTCACACGAGCTTTCGTTATGAAAATTGCTACTTTCTATATTAAATTAACTTGCCCTCATGCTTCTTTGATTTATGGAAACTTGATTATGCCAACTTTTATTTCCAAAAAGTTACTAGCTTCCACTTTTACTCACAATTCATTTTCATGACCCGCATCTTTAATTTAATTTTATAATCCTTAATTCGTTTGGACTACAAACGATGATAATGCTAATAATCAATAAATAGTTTGCATCAAATGAATGTATTCATGTCAAGTAACAATTTCAAAGAAGACATCTCGTAACGTTTCAATTATTCAATTATCTTTAAACGAAATCTCAATTTTTTAACAAATTGCAAAAATTAATCTTTCACAGAATCACTTTTGGAGGCTGAATGCTAGTTCCACAAGATGTATTTTTGATTGTTTTGTTGATGTCTAGCAGTCAAAGGTGTAAGATTTGTGAAGATTCAAATTATTTGCTCAAAATTTTCATCTTTTGAAAGTTTCACCTTGTTAAATAATTTTATGAAGCATAAACAGCATAAAAAATTTGAATTTCAAAACAAAAACATCACGAAAAGTTCATTGATTCTACTAAATACACAACGCCCTTGTTGTTACAGATCATCTGTCAAATCGGACATTGACTTTAAGTTTATAGACAATATGGTACCAGCATTGCGGTTTCTACTGACCTCATCGCTTGTTGACTCAGCATATTGTAACTTAAGTAATATTATTTAAGAAATGACGATAGAAGAAAAGAGAATCAGCCATGAGAAAAGAGCTCAATGAACTTTCGTATGAGTGATCCAAAAACGCATTCATTCAAGAAATGAAAAAATTGAAAATGTTGCGTCGTGTCTGCTGAACATTTGTGGATCAAGTTACAAAAATATTCAGCTCAATTTCAAGTTTCCCGTTGGATATTGCAAAAGTTGCTAATCAAAAGAAATTTAAATGACCCAAAAAAAACTTCATCCAAAAATTTCAGCATTCAAAGGTGTAAATAGAAACACCACAAAATAAAAGTCTCAAATATCCACAAACTTTAGAGTGGGCATTAAAATTTATTTTAAACCACTTACAGCAACATGTGGTAGCACTTGTTTTACCCGCAACAAAAAGAAATTGCCTCATCACAATAATAAAAGTGCTCGTAAATTAATCTCGGTCATAAATGAGCAACCTGTAGTAAGTATAGCATAGTGAATTGTGGAACAATCGACAATATGACTCTCAAATGTAAATTCCAACATTATTACTAATGATACTGTATGCATATATATGGGAGAGATTGTAAACAGATGAATAATAAGCATTGTACTTTACCGTTTGGTTGCATAATTTAATGGACATGATAATCATGATCATCACTTTTATTTTATTTTAATACTATAAGGTGTAATTTAATGGTTTTCGGACAACATGAGTTCGATTGATACTTTTACTTTGCTTACTAACCATGCAAAGTATGGGCTGATGAAAGGTTTTTGCTGATCATCATAAAAGTAAGTTGGGTCTACGTCAATAGGAATTTTTTGAAGGAAGGGGGAAGCTGAGTTGTTCTTTTGTATGAACGGAAATTTTTTTAAATTGGTAATGTTTCCGGTCCGATCTTTGGCAACTCTACTGGGCCACTGAAAACATGACAAGAGCGACTTGTAGACAGAGATTGAAGAGTAGAAGAGAATAGGATCAGATTTATTTTGTCGAGTAGAGAGCGGGGTGAAGGAGGGGGGGGGGGGGTCTTCTGACTATGCACTGTTAGATAATCTATTTACTTCATCCATCAAAATTAATTCATCAAAAATTCAAAAGTAGAAAGTATGAAACTGGACACGATCATCGCTCAAACGCATGTCATGTCATGCCATGGATGGTGATTTTTGCTCACTGATCTCATTTAAATGAAACAGCTTCAGGAGTTGGAAAAAGAAGAACAACATAAACAAAAAATAAATCAAAAGATAATGTGGAAACAAAAGAAGTGAATGGCACTCTTTATTGTCCATTGTGGCTTTTAAATTAATTTATCAAAAGAGTCTAATCAAAAATGAATTAAAAAGCATCAGATGATGTAAGATTTTAATTTTAATGCCTCTCAATACTTGATCGATCGACATTATAGATTATTGGAAAGAATATGATGAAATTACGTGATATTTAATGCTATTTCTAAACATGCGAGATTCACTCTCGAAAACTGTGTCAAATTATTCAATAAAAAAAATTAAATTATGCAATAAAAATCGAACATAATAAAGCCATTTCAATGTCACTGTCATTGATCTTTACAATTTATAAGAAAAACCGCCGAATTTCCATAAAAAGTAAAATTTGATCATCAGTTCAACGTTCATTGTTATGCCACCAATGATGCTGATGCTGACAATTGATTTCATGTATGAATAATAAAGCAGCTAGCCAAGCATCGATGATGATGATGATGTAGTAGATGAAAAATAATAGTAAGAAGAAGAATAATGTAAAATTATGCCAAGGCTGATGCCTGAATCTCTCACTTAAATTGATTGAGATCGAATCGACTGCTGCGAGCGCATACAAGCTTTGCTACTTTTTATTGCTCCGGTTTTGCTCATTGAAATTTTATAAATTTTTTTCCTTGTGATGAATCTGTCAGATTCTTTTGGTATAGCCTGAATTCTTCTTCAGAATCAAAGACATTTTCCCACAGACTATAATTGTGTTAACATGATTTGTCAACATATTTTTCTTGCCACATCAATTCAGCGACAAATAACAATTGACAGAAGAAAAACTTTCAAAGATTCGCCCGAGTTCGTGTGCCATTATATTGTAACTAATGGCTGCTTGTGTGCGCATTTGCAAAAAAATTGTCTGAAAAGCTATTTGTTCGCTCAACTGCACGTGAACAATTTCTGTCTTCTTTTTAGCTGCATAGTAAAGTATGAAATCGAAAGTAATTTATGAACAAACAAATATGAAGCATCAAGCCATAATGAAATGTTTAGGAATATTTTTGTATATTGTCTCTAACATGTGTTTTTCATACTCAAACTTAATACCTTTAATATATGACGATTGGAGGTCGCAAGATTGCAAAAAAAAAATTAAACAAATCCTCTGTCATGTGCCGCAATCAGATCATCGCTGTTTTATGGATATATGACGAAGAATTAAGATGCTTAATATTAGCGCGTGTGAATGGAATGCTTAGAAAATGAAAAATTAAAGTTTCTGCCAATTGCTTAGCGAAATCCGCGCTAAATAATTCTTCAATTCATTCGAGCATGCAACAATGCTAGTTCAGATCCATAAAGAAAATTAAACAATTCACATGTGAGATCATTATGTTAGATTATTGTATATTTTAGGATTTGTAAAGTATCTCACTGTTTTCATATTACTAGCTTCAAATAAAAACTAATAATAGTAATACCTGTAATTGACAAGACATTTAGCAGTTTTATGTCTAATGAAGATATACAAATCGCACTTGAAGACAAAAGAAAAAGTCACGATATAAAAGTCTTTTCATCTATTCAGAAGCTATAATATTTGCTATACAGCATAAGAGGATTGTCGATACAAAAATAGATAATAAATCAATAGTAATTCAAGAGTCAAATTAGCAAACAAATTCGAGCTTTCAATTGCTGTCTTTCTTTGTGAAATTTTGAAAGGCAACAAAAAGGCTTTTTGAAAAATTATTAAGTTGCTGATATAACCGGAGATTTGTGAGTTTAATGAAGTCAAAAAAGGTATTGTGATTGATACTACAATAAGTAAATGTAAATTCATGCAGGATTAACACCTGATAATTATGGTTTGTCATGACACTTAAATATTGTTGTGGTGATAAATTGGAAAGGATTTTACTAAATTGTGGCATTTCTGTCATGATCCCATCATTTACCTGCTATATGAAACCTAACGCAGAGCTTTTAAAAATAATTAAGATAGCCTGTGATCCAATGAATGTACTGATATCAAGTCGGCAGCTATAAAAACATTATCGCTATCAATTTTCAATTTCCATAAAAACTTCAAAGTAATTTTATCTTGTTGCTAAGGCTGATCGTAATCTGTTCACGAGTGCGATTAATTACCACTTTCAATAACCATTAATTTACAGCATGCACTTGAAATCTCGAAAAAAACATAAGTGCTGGCATGATAAAAGTGTATCACATCATATCAGCCTCTCCATTAAGGTCGTCTCCATCATTTGATTTAATTTAATTTCAACGCTTTCGTATTTTTTTCCACATAAATTGCAATTTATTGAAGGTGACGATGCATGTATCGTAAGAATTTAAAACCAGTTCATGGTGCAAGGTAAATGGGTAAAGGTACTCACGTTCTGGCCAACTGAATTGACATATCTAGCAATAATTCACCAACTGTTGCAATTTCTTCTGGTTTCCATTCACCTTTTGGCTGTGCAACGCCTGTAATGAATTTTTTAAGTATTATTATTATTGATAATGGGTTTGTGGAAAGGAATTACGAGGCTATGGCACTAAATATTTAATTTATGGATCATTTATTGTTGGTTTAATGACATTTCAAATATGGAAATATGATGCAGTTTTATGAAATGCAAATAAACAAGTCATTAAATTTTATTGAGCATTTCATTGCAAAATTTGAATAACTTAGTGCCACATCCTAGCTATATTGTTTGTACTTACGAATTCTCTTTCTTGCATCGATGTATGCTTGATTGACGGCATCATAAGTGATACATGTATGTTGTGCAACATGAGGTGCCCTGCAAGATAAACGATAAAAAATTGCATTAATACAGATTCATGTGACAATAAATAATGGAACTGCTTTACTCCATTTTTTGTTATAATTATTATGGTCATTGTGGAGAGAAAGTCGATAAAAATGAAAATTGAGCATGCATACGAGGTGACTAAATTTATTGCACGAGTATATGAAATGATTGATTGATTGACTGAATTAATAATGTAGAGCAAGCCTTTAAAATTCAGAATATTGCTTTTAACATGATTTCTAGATCGGATGTGTTGCTAAAAATGGCAATTAACGAAAAAATTAAGTAATTTTAATTCTGAGCTATTTGTTGAAAATTGGAAGCTATAGCAACTTAGTTTCCTTAACAGTACGCAGATCAGTTACACCTTAAATTCCTTTAGATCTTCCGCAATCCATGACTTTTCATAATCTATTAATTGCATTAAGCATTTATCAAGGATGTTCGGTAAACCTCTTAAATTGTAATAAGCTTTAATTGCTAAATTCAATAAAAAAACAACTTCAAATGTCATAATTATCTCAAATTTCTTCTTCTTTCATGTTTTTTTAGATCAATCGCTTTCTGCATTTGTTGCTCAATGTCCAAACATTTAATCTTCTTGAGCTAGTTCCATTGCTAATTAAAAACGTGCTGCGTTTGCCGACTACTTTAAATTCAAATTGTGTTTAGAAGAAGAAAGAAGAGTTTCAGAGTTGATGACTTAGTGTGTCTTTAATTAGCATCTGTATTAACTTCAAGTCAAGCCCAACTCTGCATGTAATAATATCTTCGTTTTCTTCTAATTAACATTAATGAAAGTGCATGCTAATGAATTTTCATCATGACTAGAAGAGAATAAGTAGAAGACGAAGAGGGAAGTTCACATGAATTGTTTACTATTTATGAATGAACTAGATTTTTCTTTATTTGATTATGCCACTTGAAATGAAATATTATGGACATTATAAAAGAAGAGTTTAGAGTGGTGATGTGAAGATTTTCTAATATGGCTGTACCAGTAAAATGTTTGGACAAGAAGAAGTTGATTTCTGGGACTTGTTGGTCATTCCTTCCAAAAGATCTAAAGATTTCAAACCTTCTTTCGTCTCTTTCTTCATTAATGTTATGACAACTTTCAAATAAACATTTCGGCAAAGATATCATGCACTAATCTATCATCATTCCATTTCAACTTTTTACATGATTAAGTCATTAAATTTACATCAACAATTCATGCAAGAAGTCAACACATTCAATCCACACATTATGGATTGTTTTAATAACACGTCAAGTCACTTTTTTTGTTGATAAGCATCGATATGAGGCAATTAAGTGCCCTATTATTTATCATACTCTCTTGATTTGATTACCATTTTCAGTGAATTTTATGAACATATCAAATTCAAGAAACATGTAAGAGATGCTTTTTATGGGTTAAGGGCTTACTTATTAACCCAATTTCATCACTCATTTCTTCTTCGTTTTGCTGCATTTAGCTCATATATGCACTTATGTCTATAATCTCATTTACAGTTAATTACATCTTTTGCAAAAAGGCACGAAAGAAATTGAGTGTTGGAATGCATGAAAAAATGCAGATTCTCATGGGGTTTATAGTAGTAAAGCCATAAAGTTTAAGATTAATGAGGTTGCAGGGTTGATTTTGAATATTTGTTGACCAAATTGAGAATTTCTGCTTGACATGTCTTATGTTTGATCATTAAAAGTCTCTTAGGACATTCAGACTAATTAACATTAACATGCTAGCCAAAACTAGATGCTTCAAAACCAGCAACTCTGCAAAATTGAGCACATTGGTTGAAAAACAAATAATTTCCCATTCAATTACAAAATTGATGAGAAAAAAATAAATTTTAAATCAACACTCATTTGCAATTACTTAAAGTCTATTGAATAAGTTTTCATTTCCATAGTTTGAATACGAAAAAAAAGTTATGAATGATGATGATCGCAAGGTATGCGGAAAGAGCGCGAAGAAATTAAAACAAATTATCGCTCATAAATCTTAAATCGCAAAGATTTTTATCTTATGCAATTAATGCTTGCTGCCATGTAGATGTAATTGCATGCTAAGAAGGTGTTAAGAAATCTCGCATGCTTATTTTTGATGCGTCTCGTGCAAATTTGATTCTCTTATGTCAGTTCATTTACTGACTAGTGCACGATCTGAGTATCACGAAAAATTAAATAAATACTTACAAAGTTCCTCGGAAAAGATTTACATTATAGTCATACAATGATGAACGTCCTTCTTGTGATAGTACAAGTGCACATTCATTGGAATGTTGATCAAATGAAAGGTATGCTTGGGAACTCACGACAAGCGCGAGTAGTGTGGGTAAATATCTGTAATTAAATAATTTAAATAAGTTTGATGATTTTGGAAGTCCAACAAAATTTTAATCTAATATTTTCAAAGGAAACAAGCTTCAAGTCTTTGCGGAAGGATTTTCATTGTATACTTGTAGTCAGCTACTAAACTAAAGTCAGTAAATAAGTGGCGATTATCACAACAATCGACTCTTAAAATTTTAAATGTTTTACTTCCACTCGTACTCGCGATTTTAAGCATCAATTTACCAAAATATTAACATTTAATATTTATTTTGTAAAGTCCATAAAAGTAAACATTCAGACATTAATACTTGAAAACGTTCAAGTTTCTTGTTCATTTCGCATGACTTTTGATAGAGAAAAGAGCTTAAAAAAGTTTCGAAATTTTTTTGTACAGTAATGTGATACATTTCTGTTGATTTTTTGTTGTATCTCGTGCAATTTTCAGTGATTACAAAACTCGGCACACATTTGTTTTGATCTCTGGCTTTTATGGCATGAAAATAGCAATTTTGCTAGGAATTGATGTCAAAAACATCAAATAATGCAAGTAATTACTTGTTAATCACCTTTCACATTTAATTAAAACTGTTTACAATCTACTCAATAGATAGTGTGAAAGTAATGAGGAAATGTGACTTTTGGGATGGTCAGAAAAATGCTTTTTATGTCTCAAAGACAATTTTATTGGGATTGTTTGGAAATTGAGTTTATTAAGAAAGTAGGAAGCAGTAGACACAATTACATGGACATAGATTGTAATGGAGGAAGAGATGTTAAACTTGGACCTATCCCATGGTTGGTTTGGACTCAAAAAAAAAAACCAACAAGCTACACTTCTTAATAAAAACTGTAAAGACGAATGACTTGCATTTTGAGGACATTATCAATTTGAAAGCGAATATAATCTTAATTAAAAAATGAACCCCCCGATTTTATATCCTTGACATTAAGTCACAAAAGTCAGGGTAAAAGCCGCTATTAAAAAAATAACCAAATCATGTCATTGACTGCATGAATTGCTTAAAATTTATTATTCATTGCAAATAGAATAATTTCCTGGACTTTATTCAATTTATTGATTTCAATAAATTTTTCTTCTTGACCCGAAACTCTGAATTGTTCACAATATCATGATAATTAGCCCAGAAAAGTTAAGAATTAGTTCCTTCTCACACGCCCACAGTTTTTTTGTAAATAACATTGCATGACTCATAACTAAAATTCAAATAAAATCTATACGAATAAAGCAATTCACATCTATCGATCAAATCAGTGGGTTCGTAAAATTTTGCTCAACTTAAGTCCAACTGTGTATTATTTTTCTTAAAGTGTTGCATGCAGCACATACGCCAAAGTAATAATCAGAGATAATTATTCATAAAATATACATACAATTATGATCGTTCAACGACTCCCTACGATTAATTTTCACACAGAGTTGGATGTAATTAATCATGCTGATACCCAACAGCGATGGAACTAGATCTTTAATCGGGGGATTAAATTGGACCAAAAAACCACTGATTCAAAATGTTCATTTTACAGTCTTTCTATCACCAACTCTGTCATTTTATCTAACAAAATCCACCAATTCATTACTTCGCATGAGAGCTGCAAATTCTGCGAACTTGCAATTAATTTTTTTGATTATTTCTTATGCAGCCATACGTAAAATACCTGCAAGGCAAGCACCAATTGTTATAATTTTCACTTAAGAAAAATGAATTCTCATTCATGGTCTGCAGTCAAAGCTATGATTGATGGAAATGAAAAAGATTGATAAAAAAATGTTTACAGCAATTGCTAAAGTGTTTGCTATTAAGGGTCACAAGAGAATTAAAATTGATCTTATTCGGTACGCACAAGTATCAAGTATTGCGAAAATAAAATAAAATGTGACTGCTGCTGACTTCAAGGATAACCACAAAATAATGAGACGATCGCTTTTATTCCTATGTGCCATAAAACATTTTTTTAAAGGATATGGAACTGATGAAAATTAAACTTTCAATTAAATGTACATGGTTTTATTTATATCTCATTTCTGTGGCTTTGGCCGACTCCAAGGAGAATTGTCGGTTCCAACATCAATCGAGGAACGAAAATACAATGCGATTTTTAATCTCATGCAAATGTTTTATTTCCATTTTTTATTGTTGATTGTTGGCTTGAGATTTTTCTTCAAGAAGCTACACTTGAATGTCATCATTTTCTATAAGCGCGTAGCATCTTTCCGTTACTTATTTATGAAGAATCTCTTCCTCAACGCCCATTTTTACATCGTTTTTGACCAGAAAGAGGAAAATCATGTGTTTTATGTCTTTACCTAATTTAAGATGAGTGCTTATGCATTAATAAGCTAATATTTAATTTGCTACGTAGAAGTACCATAAGATGGGTCATAAAATGGCAGATACAAACCAGAAAAGCTGGATGCAAAAACAGTCCATTACATAAAACTACATCTTAAATCTGAGAAATGTGTTGGCAAACTCGCGAACATACTTTTTATATTTATATTCTTATGAAATTCGTGCAATTAGAATGTGACTTGTTAATTAGTCTGAAGCTTTCGTTTTCTTTCATTTAATGCACATTTAATTAAAATTAAGTATTGCAATAAGTCGGAATGTAAGTATTGTAAATGACATAAATGGATAATTTGTAATTTTCTTGCAATCTTCAGCCTCTTACTCTATATTTGCATAAATGGAATATTTAATCATATTCGAGCTTAAGTGGAGAGATCATAACATTGAAATAAATTATAAATTAAAAACCATAAATGAAGCTGCTAAGGGTTGTATAATTTACTATCAGAATCGACAGTCATTATAAACTTTATGGCACAAGTCATGTAAGTTTTATAAGCTTTTTCTTTCACTTGCTCTTGAAATGTCTTTAAAAATATTTAATAAAATCGAGTAAATAGTTTTCTTCCCTTGACCCCAAGTCATCCATCCTCAATCGATCAATAAATTATCGAAATCCAATTTTCTATTACGCATTAATTTCATGGTCTTCATGAGTTTCAAAAAAAAATAATTCCCACTGCTCAGAAGCCAATTCCTCTCATTCGAAAGCTATCAACGCATCTGAAATGAAATGTTTAAGCATGAGCATGCAAACACGAGAGACAATCAACAAATATAAGTTACATAATAATCTCATCTAACTTGCGAGGAGAATTACTTTGCAAAAATAACAGCAGCTGATATAATTTTTTACCAACAAAACTTTAATATAAAAGTACGTAGATGTGTAATGGGAGACTTAAACTTTTACTTTCATAGCATCATTTCTATTTTGAGCTTATTTTTGTGTTAAAAATAATTAAAGAGTAATCATTAACAGCGATTTGTCTATCTTTGATTGAGTATGTAAGTAATCATTCGGAAAAGGAAGCAGTATGTTGTCTACAATTTATGGTGGAAGTTTAATATTTTTGATTGCTGGAAGATTGGCTTGAAATAAATTTACTTTTACTTTTATAGGTGACCTAATGATTGATGGCAGTGAGTAAAAACAATTTTTTTGAGAAAGGATATTGATCTGGACTATCTTGATCTTCCTAGCTGCATTCATAGATTTTCTAGGCTTTATAGCTGCTTGACATAATCTCAGTGACATTGTCAAGAGAAATACGTCAAATTAACTCAACACCTCAAAGTAATCTCCAACTCGTCCACGATCCAAACAGACATCCCATAATCTTCCAAACAATGCAATGCACTTTCAATTTCAATGCACAATGTAGTTGAGAGCATAAAATAAGCTCGCAATTTTTCCTTCCGATTACGAACGATAACTTTTTGTGGTGTGTACTGCTAATTTTCCATTTCATTAATCTCACAAGTCAAGTGATTGAGCTGACTTTTTAAAAACATAAAACATTTTTCACTGCTGTTGCTACTCAAAGCAAGCTAACATAGTTTTGTGATTGAAAAGCATCTGCAAACTAATTGTTGCAATCCGCATGTGTTGCTTTCTTTAACTTCTCTGCGAACGAATTAATCTTTCCATTCATTCATTGCCGTGATGTTGGTGATTGAAATGAGGAGAGGAGCAAACTGGTTTTCACTTCAATCACGTTCAATCACGTTCAATCATTTGTTTATTATTAGAAAGAAGAATTGAGATGAAATTTTGTATTGTCATATTGAATTGATGGAAAGGAGAATTGGATTTACATTGCATAAGTTCAAATGGCAAGAAATGCATTATTTGGATCAAAATTGTTGATTTGAAAAGGAGTCTGTAACTTATGACGCCAGCTTATGAAATTTGAACTTAATGCGTGAATAGCCCCAACCAAACAATAGGATGCCAAACTCCATATTTATCCAATCGCGAAACTATTATGCGTAAAAAATTCTGTACATTAAAAGTGTCTGAGACATGCTGAGTGTATTATTGACTAAGTGGTTATTCTTTCACACGCGTAGGTATCTTGTAATTGCATCTTAAAATAACTCTTATGTCTTATATTCTTTTTATTTTCATGATTTTCTGTTCATCTTACATCGGTCTGTTTTCCTTTCTGTTCGCTCGTTGAAGTCTTTTCTTCTGCATATTCTATGGAATATATTTTCCATTGTGAAAGAAAGACAGCAAAAAAAAAATTTGTAATTTATGATGTAAAACATCATAGTTCCATGTTAATATGTATGTGAATAATAATTGAAATATTTACGAGACATAAAATTAAAGGCTTAAAAAGTTAATTTACTTGGTTCAGTCCTTTCATTACTTGGACATAAGCTGGCTATTGTGACATAGTTTTTAAACATAAAAGTATCAAGACAAGCTTCTCACTAAAGCTATCAATGTCAATGATTAAAAGTAATGACTAGGCATCAAGCACTTATTGATTAATAGGAATTTTAATGAAATGAATTTAAAAATTTATATCATGCAACATTGTAATTTAGGAATGACTTTACTCAAGAATTTTGAAGAATGTTCAGCATGTCATTTAACTGAGTTAAGTCAAGAATTGTTCGATTATTCGTGATGTACTCAAATTATAACAAACATCATTCAATGATTCAAAATAATTCAATTCCCAACTAAATCGCGTAACACAAGAAGCTAGTCTACCTACATCGAAGCAAAAACCTTTATTTGCATCATCCAAAATTGATTATTATTACAGTGATCAAGCTTCCCTTTCTCATCATTTGCAATTTCCAAACTTAATGATCCATAGAAAATATCGTCAGGCGCTCCACATAAACCTTGATGTTTTTTATTTGCAAAAGCTATGCTTGAATTATTATTATTTGCTAATCTTCTGGACATCTCAATATGAATAAGTTTAAGAGATTTTTAAGTAGCTGTAGATTTTATGGAATGCGATGACAGACAAGGCTAAAGTTATGAATTTATCGCATAGTTGAGATAAAATTGAGTTGGAAGTAAAGGTACTGTAAATTAATGGACTATTATTTTTAATTTCAAGATAAGGTGTGGAGGAAGTGGAGTTATTTTAAAATGTAAAGACTGTTCCTTTAAATAAGTAGAATATATGCTGAAATATTCAATTTAACTGTTCAGTTAAATCAGTTTAAAAAAAATTCTGACAATAAACTCACTAGATCAAGAATGAAACTGATGATATCAAGCCTAGAGACACAGTTTTTCAACCCATTGGTATAGAGCCATAAAGCATCAAATTTCAATTTTAAATTTATTTAAATTAAGTTTATTAATAATTTAAATCATTCTTAAAAATAGCTTTAAATGAAAAATATGACTAAAATATATTCATAAACACAAAGTTCATCTAACTGTGTTCAGGCTATATATAGAAAAAAAATCCCAATATCTTCACAAAGACTTGATTAAAATAATTTCCTATCCAAAAAGATTGTGTAAATAAATTTGTCATGCTTAAATTTCGCGATAAAAGATTACGAGTCGAAGCAAGCAGCACAAAAACTTTCTACTGCTATAGAAGCTTGTCACACAATCTACGCAAAGAATTGTTCCCATTTAAAGATATTAATTTCACACAGGAATACAACTTCCAAAAATAAAAGTTAACACACTTTACAGTCACAACTTTCGGACAGTGCTTACCTCGATAACATTTTTATTTTCTGTTTCCTCTTTCTACTTCTTATTTACTGTGTTGTATTCACAAATATAAAGTTCAATTCACTTTTCACTTGTTAAAATTGTTATTATTTGATATTATGCAATAATTTGGATGTCTGGGTCAATTATGCTATTAGCATATTTTCTCCTCGTGCCTGCTTTTTTTGTTCTGGAGATTTCTCACTCTTCTTTCACTTTTAAATTGCAAGATTTTCTTTTTTTACTTTTTCGTCGGTTATTCACATGTATAAAGAACTAGGTCAAAAACTGTTCTGATATTTATTTTGATTTTAAAGTGTTTTAATATTTCTTAAAATTTTTTTAAGACTTTTTATTTCTTATCTGGTCCATCAGACACACAATATTAATACTCGACTTGCCGCGAGTAAAATAAAAAACCAACTGATTGACTCGACAGTTGGATATTAACTGTTTCTTCCCAACAATTTTTTCCATATTTTGTTTTCGTACTCAAATATGAAATAGCTGATTTTTTTTTTTTTTTTTCTTGAGTCTTTTAGGTCTTTTTTGTTGTTGTTGCTGTCGTTTCTCATTCATTTCGTTTTGTTATGTTTATTGGAAGTAGAAAAAAAGGCGCTCTATAAGAGGAAAGCTCTAAATGTATGAGAAACGAGAGTGTATCTCAATTTTAGTGCAATGCTCTTGTCTATAAAGCCATAAAGTCATGTGTGTATGTTGTTAAAGTTGGAGACGAATGAAGAGTGTAAGAAGAAGATGAAAGTGAGTAGAAGTTTGTGATTATTAATTCAGCGCACTTTGCTTTTTGAGAGCATGATCGAGCTGAATTATTATGCTACGTTAGCGGATATTTTGTGGACGGTAAAAAATAAGTTCTATTATACTACATTATACTTCCTGCAATCAGATGCTCCTATGCTGCCAACGGCCACAAAATTTATTCCCAACTCGCAATATTAAATAGGATATTTTATGATCTACAAGAAAAATATGCAAGCTGTCCTCATATACTCGACATAATTGCATTTCCAATATTTGTTACACTTTTTGTTTTGTTTTCGGGCGTTTCTCCTCTCCACACAGATTATTAATAATATAACGTCAATTTGACCGAGATTTTCTTTTATGCGACGAGAAATGTGTGTATGAAGAACAGTGGACATTCTACGCGTTTACACACATTCAGTATGTGTGCTTCTCGTAAGAGGTAGAAAACAGAAGAGAACGTAAGCGTGTAGAAAAAAAATTGAGTTCATAAAGCGACAGAATTTATTTGGTATGGACGTATTTACTTTAGCCAATAAATCATTTTACATTCATTCAATTACGATTCTTAGCGCGTTTTTCGCTAGGAAGAAAAATCATTTTTCTTTTTTCTATGTTGATTGTTTGATAATTTTTGTAGGGTTGCCCACTGAAATATTGACCAAAATATTCTCATTAAAAATCAGCCTAATATGCTGCAACACTAATTTATATTTTCCTAAGAATTCGCAGTCATTGAGAGCACAAATTATTGAGTAACAATATTGAATAGCAATTTCATATTCAACGTGGGTATAAAATAGACGCATTATTTCAAATTGATACCAAATGTATGCACCAATTGTGACATATATTGAAAGTAATTTTCATGCGCCTTAAATTTCAATATTGTCTTTATTTATGCTTAATAAAATTGGAAACAAAAAGTTGCATAAGAGTCGAGACAGATTTTTTTCTCTCTTTTTATTTCTGTCTTGTTTCGCTGCAGATAATCGAAATTTCTTTTATTGTTGTATGTGACAACGAGCTAGTAAGATTTTCAATGGGAAAAGAATTAATGGAAGGGTTTTAGTAGAACCCAATGTTCCAATAGATGCCAATTATCAACAACCTCTTAAGGGATTGTTTTAAAGATGCACAAAGCTAGATTCACTAAATTGCATTATTTACTTCTCAAAAATTAATTCCTTGAATATTTTGCAAACAATTTCCGATAATTCCTTCTATTCAAATCAATTATTGTCCAATTTACGCATAATTCTCACAATAAACATTTCAATGCTTCATAATCGTTCCTCAATAAAATCATGTCTTTTGTGGCCTCATCAATTGCTTCATAAAACTCATTGAAAACATAAAAACATCTTGCAAATTCCTCAATTAATGATTCATCTTCAAAATTGACATCGAAAATTTCTTTTCGCAATTTTTTTGCATCCTGCAACACATGATTATTCAATCATATACATGTGCTGGAATAAATCAGTTGTTTAGCTTATTCAATTAGTTTACTAAGTTTTCATGATGTTAATTATTGGCCTACATTGTAAATGAGACAATCATAATGCCTATAACTTTTACGATATATATTTAACCTTCAATGCTTTAAATCTCTATAAGTGACTTAAATGCATGGTGAGTGTTCAGTTTGTAGCTTTGGAGGAACTGTTTTGACATTTTTGGCTGACGTTAATAAATTAAATATGAATTAGATTTATCCGACAACACAGCCCCCTCCCCCTTCAACTCCCTTAAGTTGGTTGGTTTCTAGGGCTTCAGACTATGAAGCTATAGATCCTTAACATGCGCTCAAAACCACAATAAAAATAACAATGTCACTTCTTCAACTACTTCGCATCACAATTGCGTTTAGTTTTGTTGAATAAATTTTTTATTTTGCTGAATTGCAATTGAATTATTTCAATTCTTTGTTGTATAGGAGGGAAAAAAATCAATACATGAAAGCAGACATTGATGATCATCGACAGAAGAATTAAAGCTTGAGAAATCAAAAAATTATGGAGAAGGGATTTATAAAAAATTTATCGATTAAGAAATTTTAATGCTGTGTTAAGACACATCTGTGAGCATGACATTGATTTGAATCGATAAATCGGCTGATCCTTTATGCAATTTGTTAATCATTTCCATGAACTGTATGAAATCGAGTGCACGTTCCTTGCGGGAATGTTTATCAGGAATTTGAGGAGAAAAGTGCACATTTTTTGGAAAATCAAGTTTCTTAAAAAAATGCTAGTTCATTGACCTCCTGTTTTTAAAATCTCTGAATATTTTTGGAATAATCTGACGCAATACTTACAATCTTGCTGCCCTTCAATTTAATTTAAGAAAATGAAATGCAATGAAATAAAAAAGGGAATATGGAAATGCAGAACAAGTCAGCTGGAATTTTTTAATGAGGATTGAAATACTTTTGTTTTGTTGATGTTCAATGCTGAAGATGGAATTTAGTAAAATAACTTCATTAACTGTTAACAAGAAATAAGGTTGTTACTAGTATAAGCTTCAAATATTATCGTAAGAGAGGATCACATGCTGCCAGCATGGTTAAATGAACTGGAACTAGGAATTTTACCAAAGCAGCTATTTAATTACAAATATTTTTCTAAAAGGAACACCTCCCACTTCCTCCCACTCCCCCATCATAATTTTTCAGTAATTTTATGCATAAAACTCTACAAATTCAATTTAAAGAATCTCAAAATTAATTCCAACAAAATTTTTAAAAACACTTTTAAGCCGAACGCATGCCACGAATTAATCGTCATTTCGAGGAAAAAATGCAGCTGTCCCAGCTCCTTGAACCGTTTTATATCACTTTTATTTTTCTTTCATCTACAATATCACTTATCACATTCATAAAAGTACTGACGCTTTTGGACAATTTTTTGCCATTCACTTTTTTCTGAATTGTTATCGTGTTTTTCACATTTTAAGTATAATTGATTGAAAATTTTGTTGCATTCGTGCATGCATGTCCCACGCCATAAAATGAATTTACTTTCTGTAGCTTAAATTGTGAAGAATGGGGAATGATGATGGAGTGGCAATCGACAATAAGTCTTAAGGATTGCTGTATAAATGCCTAGATTGTGTTTCTCGCAAAGTTTGGTCAAATTTCCTTTTTATGCTGTATAAGTCTCTTAATAATCAAAAACTGCTTACTTGAATTTTTTTCCAATCACATTTTTAGATGAAAATAAATAAAGTGAAAGAATAAATTCAATAATTTATTGCAATAGCTGGTTATGAAATTTATTAGATTATATTTTAGAATGTACAAAAATGCTGCGTTAAATTCAGAGCAAATTGGTTGCGTAATTTTCATAAAAAATTAAATGTTTGCATGAAAACATCAAATAAATAACATATTAAGGCTACACGCAGACGGTTGTTGGTATACATTAATAAGTAAGTTCACAACTCACTGATTCTTA